CTGTTTGGATGGGTCGCGCGTGCCAACCAACAAGTTCCTGCTCATCCCGGCTTAGTTGCGAAGCTCATGTTTGGTCCATTCGGGCACATGATGAATGCCATAGCCGAAGCTTTCCAAGGTGATTTATTGTCACGATTTATTGCTCGTTCGAATATTAGAATAGCCGTCGGATTGCTTAGGAAAGACAGCAAAATACACATAGTAGTACCCAATTGTTGGTGCATCTACACAACAATTACGGAAGTGCAACCTGCAGGAGATCAATAAGTTACCCGAAATGGAAGGTGCGGGTGCTTTCTTGATCAGATTGTATGATGCAAAATTCTGAAAACACTCAGTGGGCACATTCACCCCGATCAATATTTTATCAATAAAGTTTATTATGTTCAAGACTAAGCTGGCCTGATCCCCGTCTGTCATTCGGGGACATGCTGCGTGCCGTCCTTGCTCCCGGGTTCTCGGGTCAACTAAGTGGGTTTTAAAGTGGAGATAAAAGTCCTATCCAATGCACAGAGATAATAAATCTCACAAAGGTTAAAATGGCTCGCCACTTTGATTGCCACCCACTCCGTGGCTACGTACTTTACTGTCATGAGAGGGCTCATGGAAGCGGATTTACAAAAATCAGTTAAGTCATTAGTTTATTACACTGTTACTTTTCCACTTATCGCCTTATAATTTGACTGTGCCACATGGCATGTCGCGGCTTCTGATTACGTACAGCATTCGGTTATAGATCGGATGCTTTGGGACTGAGTGGTAAAACCGGTTTGCGAGGGATTATTCTGCTCAGTTTGCACTTTCCATCGACATGTTTGTCATAGCATTTTGTTTAATCAAGCGAAATTTCAATGTTATTGGTCAACACTGATTCGCGTTTTGTTACAGGTTTTTGAGAAATGAACCACGAAATCGCACTGTAGCATACTTCGACATTTTTCAGTTCTTTTCCGGGAGCGAGATAACGTCTACAATATACCCAGCAGGAATTCCATCTGGGAAACTTCGACAGTGACGCCTGTTTGCNTGTTTGCTTTTACGCATCAACTTCATCAAATTAGATGAGTCTGTGCAGCGAACGCCGGCACAACGCACTTTCCTTTTGAGCTCTCGTTCTACTAGGCATTACAGTGCTAAACAACCGTATGAATTGTGCACCGGCAGTTCGAGGTCCACCTTGCAATTGATCTGTTCTAGATATTCATAACTAGCTTGTGGATAATACAGTGTCATATGATAACTGCAGGTATGTTACTAACCCAATGATATAATTTTTATTAAGAATATGAAGCACCATAGGTGAATTCGTCATAAAGTCAAAATATAGTTATGACAGCTGTTCATTATGATAATGGTAGCCATTATCACTCATCTCGCATACTTAATGTGACTGCTAGCCCGGTGTCTATATGTGGAGCTGATTATGAGACTTCACCTATGCGCGATAATCCAATCCAAGCCTTTATGCAGCCACCCGTGGTCCGTTTTCCCAGCTCATGATTGATCACCATCACCCTTGGCGAAATATGCTTCCGTTTATTGATTGCATCGGTACAAAGGTGATTTGGTGTCCATCCCGTTCTCGTTTTCAGGAAGCCGAATTCACTCGGCCTAGTTTCTGAAAGGAAAACTGTTTGCTTAATTTCAACCCTTGTCCGTCTTGCACAACATAATTGAAAACGCATTACTAAGCGAAGTTGTAATTGCCAACTCAGCGAAAGCTCAGCAAACCCCAGTGTCCACAAATCTCAGTCGGTTTCCACGCCGAAGCTGGGGTTCGACTGCTATAAAGGTAAACATACTAATTGTTCAACCGATTCTATTGATTATGAAGGGGGAGTCATGCGTACATCGGTGATTGCTGGTGGGTTTCGGCAAAAATTGTGCAGTTAGAGCTAAACGCGGGTGCATGCCACTCAGTCGTAAAACTTGAACTGTAAGGTCCAAGTGCACAAATGTGCAGCCATGGTTGCAGCCGTGACGGAGCTCCAGTGAGTGAGAGGGCTCTTGGTTTCAGATCTGCTCATTCAGGGCGCTAAATTCTACCTTCACTTCACTTCTGAATCCCCGTACCGATAACATGCAGCATAATGAAATCGAAAGATCCGTCGTTTTCATCATAACTTGTAACCATCCTATACACAACCGCAGCTACTGCATCAAAAGCTATGGGCTCTGTTCTGCTAAACTAATCGGGTAAATACTTGCATTTTCAAACAAAATTTTTTTGCTATTCAATATGTGGTTATATACAAAAGAGCTTTCACATCTCAGGCACATATTACATGTTGAAAGCTGTTCGCTATTTCAGGCAATTTCGCGGATCCATTCAGTGTCTGCCAAATAGGTTTGGGCCTCATCCGACTTCTCCTTTGGACACTTATTCCGGTAATCTGGATGGAACCTAAAAGCAAGAACGCTATTGCTATTGGTTGGCAGCCATATCTTTCAGCGCCTCCAGCCAGTAGTTTTCATGCGGTCCCAATCAAGAGAGGCGGGTAGCACCGCAGCACCCAAAAATTTTGTAATCTCTTCCGCACCCCTCCACCAGAGCAAGGGTTGACCACAATTCTGTTTCTGTCACTCCAGCTTTGGCTTGAAAAATGGTACTTTTAAACAAACGATGGTTCTGCATGCGCAGTACGTGACTTGCCTAACGCAAAGCATGGTGCAGGACACGCCTTAGGGACTCCCCGCTGCACAACCGGTAACGCACTGTCGTGGGTTCGCCGGCATCAAACTATACAAGCTTTGGCTCCGAAACAACGCTTGACAAACACCCGAAGACGTCTGGGTTCTGCTGCTTGAACACGCCAGTTCCTACATCTATACAACGAAACATCCTGCAATCTGGACCGATATATACCATTTGGTGTGGGACTCCATGAATTGTATGTGGCATGCTCAGTGACTGCATGACCTCACATTTTGTGGGTGGGTAGCAAAGGACGATATAACTTTGTTCAATTCATCCAAGAACACTTGAAACTTCTCCTCATTGAGGCTGACGACCATATCCCGGTTCAACATGGGTTTCGTCAGCGCGCGCCTCATTAGTTCATCGATCATGGAGTTATAAAGAAGTTGAGATAGTAGGTACGCCTGACGGGCATCACTTGGTGTACAGAATCCTTTGAGGTACCCCCGTGTACTATCGCACATGCGGATTTCTAATAATACGTAGAAATTATTATGTTTACATCGATTAAACTTGTTCTTCCCCGGCCAAACCATTCGCAAATCCCACCCTCTACGTTTCCAAAGACCTCACAGTTGACGCTTCTAGCTTCAACCGCATAGCCACCATAAAGGCACCCTCACCCAATGCTGAAATTCATACACCGCTTTCTGCAATGAAAGACAGAATTAAAAGGAGGGCTACTTTTGTCAGACGCTTGTGCTGCTGGCCTGAGCTTGCTCTGGATATAACACAACCCGGGCGACCTTCCTAGGAATCCAAAAATCCCTCGATAGCGGAGCAAAAATGCTTACAAAGGCACACTCTATACACGCAGTGCAACACTTTAAAAGCAGTTCATTTTGCAAAGCCCCCACGCCCCTTTTGGCTGCCACAATGCCATTCTGAGGTCAATTTATCGTACAAAACGTAGCACCATTGGACATCTCAGGTTTTTCTCTGAGCTCTTATCTATGCACGCTCCAAGTTACGCTGGTTGCGCACAGTTCAGCTGATGCAGGTCCATGGTGAACGTATGCACATACCGGCTCGCATCGACCTGTATATCGATCAACGTTTTTGAAACCGCGCAGTGACCGCCCTTTTGCAGTAGTTAAAAATTGTGATCAGGTTTGGCTGTCAAATATTTGGGGCCGCCGTATAACCCATATTATAGTGTTATATAATAAAAATTTTGACAATTTTTCCTACTTTGCGGCCCATATGTAGATACGGCTATCTGGTTACCTCGTTTGAACGAAAGAACTGTGCACCCTAGATGGGCACAAGAATATAATTGTTTCAAGGTGGTCCTAACAGTTATCATAACAGTTAGCCTATCCACACCAAACAAATAAGATACTGCCCGACTTCAATTTATCACGCTCTCTGAGTGGTAATTTCAGCATACACATCACAAACTGTCCTGCTGATGACTGGAGTGCAAAATATGTCCTAGGTGAAACAAAAACACTCAGGCGAATTGATGTCTTACTCATTTTTCCGACTAGTATCACTAGCTTTTCCCTTAGCATCCATCTATGGCCAGTGAATACCATTTGGACATAAAAATATTGATGGCTGTCATGCTAAGAGATTGCAACAGCTTGTCGCACATGGAAATGTAGTAAATACAAGCATAATGACGAGCTACCAGCACCAAATACCGCAAATGTGGTCCGAATATGCTCGCTCCAGCAAAATTTCTTTGCTCATTTCTATTTATTGATGTTTCAACCTGAATTGTACCACACACCAAAACTACCCTAATTAGTTCATTCGCGGTGACACTCATTGGGCGCTCTCCAATTTTGAAGCCCTCATGAATTTAAACCGGGCCTTTGTAGTATCGGTACCTCTAAGTTTTGTCTATCACCACAGGGCGACGGTCTTAAAGTGCAGAAGCGCTACATTTCGAGTTCCATCCTGGAGAGCAAAGAGAACAAACCACTTATCAGATGAGCTTTTGACCGAGATTTTACCATAGATTTCGACTGAGAATGTCATGCCCAAATACCCACTTATGTACCAGTGCAATAATGCCGCTTTTTGACTTTCCACCATCCGTTTATTTCTAACGACTTGATCTCCCCAGAAGAATAAGCACAGTCTTGTCCACGAAGGTTTAGGTGAAGTTGAAGCCGGCACACTTAATTTGTCGGAATCATTTTGCGGATCCGGACACTTTGGTTTCTTGTGACTTCTCCCGAATGTCCATCGCTGTATTGTTCCATGAAGTGACAGCAGTCACCGTAGCGTGGGAACACTCTATTTTTGAAGTCTGTTTTCAAACAAAGGAAGGTATTTTTCAAACAGATTGGCTTCATTTCAAACCAAAAATTCCATTTTCCCAGACTTTATACTCCGATACAGCCTCGTCCATTGCTTCTATCGCTCCAACCAGGGCCTCTACCGTCCAACCTTCAAGAATAACCAGCCAGGCTCGCTTACCTTCCTCCCCATTAAGATGGTCATTCAAACGAATCCTCAATCGGGTACCCTGAGGAAGGCTTAATGGAAGTTCAGCAAGCCATAGTGGCGTCTCCGACATTGCATCTGCCGGACGTTCTGCCAAGCCATGCAGGAAGTATGAGAACGAGAATGGGAGCTCGCATGAACTGCGCATAGCAGACTGAAACTCCACTAATTTGCTCGAGCTAGTGTCTTCTATTTTCTCTCTGTGTATTTTGGCCTGCCGTGCAGAAATTTCTAAGCCCTGCTCGGCACAATGCGGGCATTCATCTCCGCCCATGAGTTTGACGGTCTTGAAAATCAGCGCATCATCAGGTCCTCGGATCTGTATACTATTTGCATCTCCAGGTAGTGCGTTGAATGAAGAATTCAGATTCGCATTTCTTAACTGAAAACTGTTCCTGTGATATGGCATCTTTTTCCCCTTTGTTTTCCCGAAATTCCTAGTTGCACTTGTGGCTCCACAGATATCGCTGGAATCCCTGTTCAAAAGCTGGACTGGAGTGAAAGGCCTTTTGTCCTTCATGAATTTTCGCCCCGAAATGAACCGAACAATTGACCTGAAGTACTGAATCGTGCCATTAAATTGTGGAGTATTTTGTAATTCTTGCCGGGTGAATTCCTGCCCCAATGCTGTCGGATACGTTAGTTTTGTCCGTCCTTTTGGAAAACACTGAAAAAATGACATTATTCAAAAGCAACGCTGCTAACTTCCAAACGGAAGATTTTTCATCAGCTATCCATGTTATCCTGCGTGGTGCGTTGACACTCGGGGGGGAGTCACGTGGATAATTTTTGAAATTTCGTCAATGATGCCGATCGATATAGCTGACCGATGTTTTTAGTATAGAGGAATCCGATCTCCAAACACTTTGAGATTTATCCAGATTTTTCCAATTAGGTCACTGGAAGGAGATATACCCTACAACTCTACCGCAACGTCCAACTACCGAACGTTGCCTCAAATGTTTAAGTAGACGAGATATGTCAGTGACCTTGATAGTGCGCGTAGTCCAGTGGGCGTTCGCAGTTATGACGATGGTCGGTAGTCCCGTTGACCCACCAACCGTTGCAGAAAAGGGAACCTCACTGAAAGACATTGTCGGGTTCAAGAGACTGGTAAGCTACTTTTCATGCCCTGGTCATGTACTTCAGGTGAAATCGGCATCCAGGACGGCTGAAACTCTCGCACCGAATGATCTTCCAGCAGCTTTTCAACTTTCCTTCGGCCTAATGGAGAGAATTAGTGACCTTATGCTGGAGGCTTTTGCCTTTCTGAATTCAAGTTCTTCTGAAAGAGCTGATAACCTTATTTTCGACGGATTCGGACAGCGGTCGCTGACGTCAGCCTTTTCCCCCACGCTCGTCTCGAAAGAGGTGTCAAGCTCCAGTGCAGATCTGATAAGCCCCATCCTAACTGACTACAAGGTATGGTGTTCTTCCATCCCGAGATATTATCCTAAATACGCTTTAATATTCCGTTTGTCTCAGTACACTGTACTGCGTTCACAGTTTGACTTTGGCGAGCAGCATCTGCCTATTGCTGGAGATGATCTCAGTTCAGTTTGTTCGCCTCACACGTGGCTGCGGTGTCCCTGTATTAGTACCGTCTGATTAATCATTGCTAACCGGGCCTCATGTTGGTTTTCTGGTCACAACACATCTATCAAATCTACAGAGAGTCTCTGCAATTCACAGCTTATCAGGAATTTTTGTAGACCTCTGATAACCCTTTTATTTCTGTCCGCGCACCTTCGTCTTATCATCTCGAAGTCTTTTAAATGCAACTGGCAGTGTATATTTATACTCGCCGCATGGTAAAACAGTGTGGAAACTTATGGTTCACTTCCGCGTGACTCTAAGGTTTATTTAACAGAATTAATGCCTCAAATTGAAGAGGAAATGGTCACTGAGATCACAGCCTGGCTGCAACATACCGCAATCACTGTGATCTACATACACCACTAAATGATTACTCAGACAAACTGGAAATTAACTGATAGGAAGGATCCATGAAGATATAGAGAGCAGATAGGAAAAACCACTTGTCAACTCCTTATTTTAGCAAACATCATCACATGTCGTAGGTAGTTATAGGGATAATCCCAGATGTAGCGGCTGGGAGTGGTATCTCTACATTCGTTGTGATATCGTGGTTACTTGCACAACAACCGGTATACGGATGAAGCCGTACTTCATGATCACCTCTATCGGCTCGAACATGTGCTCGTGAACACCAAAAAGCAAACACCCTGCCCGGTGAGAAGCACACACATAATACACAGTGTCAGTGAATTGGCTTTACATACCTTACAATATGGATTAGTTCAGATCCCTGGCCGTGCACTTTTTATCAAGTTCACATATTTTGCGGATGTCTGTGTCTGTATGCAAAAGTTGACTACGGGTACACTGAGTATCGCCACCTCTTTCACGATCACTTACGCAACCTAATGATAAAGTGTAGACCCAAATCAAAGAAAGGCACTCTTAGAGCCAATACATAAGCTGCTTCATCCCGGATAAAATTACCATATTCCTTAGTCCCTTGTTTAGTGATACTATACTTTAGCGCATAGTATAACTGTACTACATACATGTATTTCACACCATTACGGTATTTTGGGGTTGCTGTTGGCGCTTAACCAAGGCTGGTGACTTGGAGATGATAAGATGGAGTCCTACTATTTAACTCTTGACTAAGCAGAGTACAGCGCTTACAGTCACGCTTCATTGATTCTCTGTCATCGAAAAAGTAAATGAGGTATAATGAATGAGAGAGGTCTAGCTATATGATATTAGTGACTTATCTGTGTATAACATCCGGTTACACAAGATAACCCGACTGAGGACGTAATACATTTCTAGACACCCTCCAACCTACCGGAAGAGACTATATCGTGAATTTTAGAGTCAGGGCTATTTGCTACCTTTGTCTACAATTCGTCTGTTTTTGGGCCGGAAGGTGGGTGATTATTGTTAAGAAGGTAAGAAACCAGACGGTTAAATTTTAAGCTACCTGAATATGACTACCGGGTGCGGGATGGTTCTCCAAAAACCATTCATGAAATTTGTGAATGAAACACCATAATGGGTAAAGACTGAAAGACTGAAGGAAACAATCATCTTTTCCCGCTCCAACATTTGCCTAGGAACCTGAAAATTTGCGTTTTTTATCACCTAAATTAAAGATTCTGCCTATTGAACATAAAACTTAAAGGAGGACAAGATGATGCAAACAAAATAACAAAGTATTCAACGTAGTTAGCCAAGTTGATGTGTTGAGACATGTCTTGAACAAGTTACCGTTTTCCTGATTGTTGGACAACACACCTTTGGAAGTATTGGATGCTTAAATATAGAATAAAGTACATGCAGACATATCAGCCACCGTACACGAAGATAGTGAGGCCTTTCTTAAATCAATCCAAATGTCTTATTAGCTTTTGTCATGTCAAAGGTTATTTTGCGTTGTAGCATTTACATTTTTTGGGGTTCTTAAGCCACAGAATTCCCCAATAGATGGTTTTGTAAGATACTCATTCAATCATGTTTGCCGCAACTTATCTATCCCCGACTAAGTCACAAAATGCCTGATGCTATTAGCAACCTCAAACGTCTACATGATGAATTTCATTTTGTTGTATATGCTTTGCTGGTCTACAGTGTATTGGGAGCAAAACAATGTCATCGACGCACTCTTCGCCACTTGGGCCTTTTCTTTTCGCGTTTCTTGTCGTTATAATACAACATTGTGTAACGGATACTTCTTGATTAGGATTTTGACACATGGCCATAATTGATATTCTTATACCTTCTATTAAGACAGCATAGCATATCATGCGGTGGAACGTTTTGGATATAAAATCCGTATTTATTGAAAACATAAATACATTTTCCAAAATCAGGCTACAGAGGTGCAGAAAAGCTGAACTTGTTCCATTTTTATTCTGCTTCGGAAATTGAGGGATATTCCTTCTGAAATTATTTGAAATTTACTACCGCTTTAGCTAAATTTTGAAACACTAGCAGTGATCCTTACGAAGCTTAAGAGTCGTATTGTTAGTCTCAATATTAAGATAACTGAAGCGGAAACTACGTTGCTGGCTGTATTTGAGAGGCTTGTCTACGACACACAATACATCCTATCAGGAACGATGTTGGTAAGACTTGTGTCAACCTGAGGAGCCACGCTAAAGAGTAATAGTTTCCTATAATTGATCGCTCAACAACAATAATATAATGAAAGAATATTTGTCAAACTATTCAAGAATTTGGAAAAATCTGAAAAGATAAGGCATTCTGAGTTGTTTATGATAACGCTGTATACAGTCCATTGAGTGTATCTTACGTCGTCTTTTTTCAAGGTACTAAACTCGTTCTGGGGTTGTTGTTACAATAGTTAGACAACCTTGAAGACTAAATTAACCTAACCAATTTATTAATTGCATTCCATTATATACCAACAAATAAATTTGAACTAATCCAAAGTACACTTTTGGAGCTGTGCATGGAGGCTGCTCCTGATTCTTAAGTGTTTAACTGGTTAAAGAGACACTGCACTTTGCTATTCGTTCACGTGTACTGCAGTTTCGTTGCTCTTCTGAACCAAGGTTTGAGTACGGCCATTCTTGCGGCCCACTGACCGATTACTGTGTTATCGTAGCTTCTAGTCTGTTAGTGTTTTATCTGGTAAAGCCAGGTCCGACGACACCCATCTTTATTCCTGCTAACAAGTTTGTCCAAGGATGGTAATTAATTATTATGGGATCCAGTAGTGAACATGTTTCCGAATCAGCCTTCCATCCCGTACTATGTGATCGACATTTCAATTCGTTTTGTAATGACGAATACATCATCCACATCAGGATGTGGGGTTCAGTTTTGGCGGTGTGATGAGTGCAGTTTCTGAATATCACCTCAGCGATGAATGTAAGTGTGACAGACGTGGTTTAAATTCCATTCGCATATTGAATGTTTCTGAGTCAGCTGCACGCACTGCTGTAGGTGCCGTGTTGGGCAAGCGGGAGGTAAAAGCACAATGCAACAGTCAGAAGATGTGCTGCGTTTTGTTTTATTACTCGGATATCAATAAGCCTAAGAAACCTAGAGGTCACAGAACAGGGAGCCACATGATCGGCAATGGAGTTCCTAACTGCACCACAAACTCACGTGATTTATTGATAGAAATTGACCGCATCCTTTTGTCTCTATATAAAATCATCTAATCGGCCATGGTGACCAGTACCCTGTGATAATATGAAAAAGCGAGCATTTTTCCATTCCAGATAAAAAAATGCTCGCACGACACTGCTCTAATATCGTGTAGTTAATGAAGTTGACCAGCGGTACCTCTAAGTAGAAGGCTTCCAGAAAAATATTTGACCTTCCAGACAAAACTTCGCCCGTCAGAGAAACTCACAAATTTGGTAACAATACAGCGCTAGCAAAAATACTGACTGGTAAACACTCAAAAGTGTGAAATGCTCTCTAGTACTGTGGTAGATGTATTGGCAGTACTTTCAAGAATAAGTTTCAATGGGCAACAGTGTGGTACAGTTGAACCGTATCCCGTAACTTTTGGGCTTTCAAATGGTCATCATCCTATTTTGTGGCATATCCTTTAGACGGAAGCAGACGTTCTACCTCAAGAAAATAAGACAGCACAGATTTCTGTTGAGAAAGACCCGAAGAACCGGAAAACTAATGAGAGGCCAATTTTAACTGTTTTGTAAAAATGTACCCTTCAGATGCGAAAAATATAGGACCGGTGTGCACAACCGTTGATTTCCTATTCAAATGCACTTAGGGCCATACAGAAATTGTTCGCTCCTGAATTCCAGATAAAAGTGTACGGTATTATCTGATTTGAACCGGTTTATCAAATTTTTTACCTTCTCTATGGCCCACAAAAGCAAACTGTTTTAGACATTTTTGCGATCCGGGCAAAATAAGGTGCTAAGACTTGTTGTTCGTCATATAACGTATAGCTAAATTTGACGATTAAAGCTTTAAACAACACCGAGGTGTTGAGAACTCAGGCTGTTTCTATGCGGCTTGAAATAAAACAGCACAATTTACTAACATTTAGCGCAAGTTAAAAGCCAGTAAAGTTGCCGTTTGATTACATCCTGACAAAATCCTAGCTTTGGTATTTCATTGAATTTATCTTCAGAATGAATGCTATGATTGTTCTTGCCGAAAAAAGTCTAAGGATGATCACTGAAGAACAACTAAAGCCAGATTAAGTACTGCATTTGCACAATAATTTCTTTGGCTGAATACCAAACCCGCCGTTAATCAATAGATATTTGCTGAGAATCATCATCATCGTCATCGACAGCATGACATCAGTGTTCAACACCGATGCTTCACTGCCGTACAACCATGACTTACTTGAAGGCCTTATTGTAAAGAAAAGAATGAAG